GCGGAACGGATTAAGTTCGTAACTAGAGGCACCACTGCATATGCTTTATTAATTCATTAAGTCAATAATAAGACAGTACCCTTTTTTAGGGTTTAATGATTTTAGATAGATTTTTAAAATCTATCTAACCAAATCTGTATGCTTACCAGAGCTTCCCTAGGAAACTAATGCGAAATCTGTCACAAGCTAGGAGCTCCAATATAAAGCTGCCCAACTTCAACATATTATCATAGTTACACAATCTCTAAAATAAACTACCTCCTTATTAATATATGAACTATAGCTTTATACAGTTGGGTTTCCATGCTTACTTCTAAATGTTATCTACTGTAATATTAACATAAAAGCCATAAGCATATATATCTCAAGCTAATTAACTTTGAAGTACTTCTTTATAAACACCTCTCATTAAAAAAATTACTGTTTAGGACTAAGTATATAAATCTGTGTAGACACTTAGATAGCTTCTTCAGTGTTTGCATTTTGTCTGTTAACTATGCTTTTAACTTTAATTGTGTAGTACCATAATGTTTTATTTTCACATTCCTGTATGAACATCATGTGCCCAGGATTAACTTAAACCATGTCTTCTTTGTTGTTCAGTGATCTAAGTTATTAATCTTTTTTTTTTTTTGTACAGCCTATCACATTGCCTTGTCCTTATTCTTGCAAGAACATACTAAGGGCCATATAGTAATTTTCTGCAATACATTCACAATACAGGATTTTATTTTCCTTCCTGTGATCCCCCAAATGAGGGTTTTTAACTTCTTCATTAGCAAATAGACATGAGTATCTATTTCATGGAGCTAAAGATTGCTACTTCTTTAAACATTCTTTTTCTGATACTTCATAGTCTTGTGTATCAGCAGGTGGCAGTTCCTGGCTGACTTTGCTAGACTCTGAAAGTAAGCAGGGTCAACACTGTTTAGTACTTGGAAGGGAACACCAGAAATGTAGCTTTAGACTGAAGCGTACCCCCCACACACAACCCCCCCAAAAGTTCCCAGAAGAAGGCAGTGGCAAAGAACTTCTGTATTGGTGCCAAGAAAACTATATGGATGTGTCTATGACACTCGTCCAAATTCAGATATTTAAGAAAACTTATACAGTTATTTGGGGAACAACCATCTGTTCTGATTGCACTTATTTAGATAACCCTGGATACTGTGATTTATATTTCCCTTCTAAGATTTAAAGCTGGAAATGGCAAAGAATCATGAGAAGAGCATTACATTCAGACTTAGGCCCACTTCAGGTAGACCTGTTTATATTAGTCGAGTCATACCGATTTCACTTGGTTTATTCCAAGTAGAAATAAGTCTGTTTTTCACCCATTAAACCTTTCATCAGTTTATGTAATTCCACACTGAGTACCAAGTTATGGATTATGTGTAAATAAATATGTTTTTTTAAACTAAAATATGCTTCCAGGTAGTGCAGCTGCCAGTGAAAAGGTTGCTGAAGAAGAAGAACCACTTAATTATTTCCTTGCCTGGCTTTCTTTTTTTCTCTGAATGTTTATGTGCTGAAAGCTTTTCCTCTCTCAGTTATAAATCTAAAGGGTTGTAAAATGGGTTGTATTTCTGGATGCAACAAAGACTGCTGTCTCTCTACAAAGCATACTGCCAGATGGGACTAACATTCACAAATAGCAGTTTATTTATTTTATTTATTTATCATATTTATATAGCTGCCCATCTCACACAAGAGCGACTCTGTTCTTGCTCATTCATCCCAAATGTAAAAATATGAAAAATGTTCAGCACTCCCTTTTATTCTTTTTAGAACACAGCCAAAAGAAATATCAATTGTCCAGTTTCTATAGTTAAAATAATTCTTTTAAAACATTGAATAAGTGTTCCAAGGTAATGGAAGGTAATCCCTGGGGGAGATGGGCAACATATAAATTTAATAAATAAATAATGGAATTTTACCAGCTGATATTTTTAACTTGTACAATATATTCTGCACGTTGCTGCTTTTTATACTGTATACCAAGTTCTTTCTGAAATGATATTTAGACGTTTATATTTTATGACATCTTATAGGAAAAAAATTTGGTACAAAAGTGATCACTTTAATCACCTCTAAAATACATTTATTTCATACCAGCCTCCAGATTCACAAGTGTCCTACAGTATAGAGAGTCAGTCTTTGGATGGGTCCATCATGGGAGTTCCTCAGCAGATCTTGACAGTCACTTCCCCTCAGAATATACCTGCTTCACAGGTGGGGAATCAACACATGCCAACAGGCATACAGTTAACCTCTGCTGCTAGATTTGGCAACCAGGCTTCAGCTACTGCAGGATCAATGGAATTAGAAACTGTTTCTGCCAACTTTGGATCTGCCAGTCATTCACCTGTGCTACACGGGCAGCCTTCAGTTCAATTTGTCAATAACATACAAGGTTTAGCTCAGAATCTCTCTAATTCCTCAGTTCTTCAGTCAGTTCCACAAGGAGTTGCCCTTATTCAACAACCCCAGCAAGTTTCCCAGCAGGTGCCATCAACACAGCAACCACAGCAAGTTTCCCAGCAGGTGGCATCTATGCAACCAAGCCAGCAAATAGTTCCACAGGTGACATCTACCCAGCAAGTTTCTCAGCAAGTGGCAGCTATGCAGCAGATTCCCCAGAAACTAATGGCTATGCAGCAGTCTCAGCAAGTTCCCCAACAGGTGGCATCCATGCAACCACCTCAACAGGGGGTGTCTTTGCAGCAACCACAGCAAATTCCCCAGCAAGTGATGCCTGTGCAGCAGTCTCAGCAAGTTCCTCAACACGTGACATCTGTACAACAAAGCCAAACTGTTCCACATGTAGTTTCCACACAGCATATTCCACAGCCGCCACAGAACGTTTCCCAGCAGGCAGCATCCATACACCAGCCTCAGCAAGTTCCTCAGCAAATTCTCCAACAGGTGGCATCCATACAGCAGCCGCAGCAAGTGACAGCAGTACAGCAGCCCCAGCAGAATCCTCAACAAGTGTCATCCATGCAGCAGCCCCAGCATATTCCTCAACAGATTCCACAACAAGCAACGTCCACACAGCAGCCACACCATATCCCTCAGCAAGTTCAACAGCAGGTGACACCCATACAGCAACCACAACAAAGTCCTCAACAGGCAGCATCCATACAGCAGCCTCAACAGGTTCCGCAGCAGGTGACACCCATACAACAGCAGCAGCAGCAGCATATTCTACAGCATGTGACACCCATACAGCAGCCACAACAAGGTCCTCCACAGGCAGCATCTATACAGCAGCCACAGCATATTCTTCAGCACGTTCCACAGCAGGTGACATCCATACAGCAGCCACAACAAGAGCCTCAACAGGAGGCATCTATACAGCACCCACAGCATATTTTTCAGCAGGTCACACCCATACAGCAACCACAACAAGGTTCTCAACAGGCAGCATCCATACAGCAACCACAGCATATTCCTCAGCAGGTGACACTCATACAACAGCAACAGCATATTCCACAGCAGGTGACACCCATACAGCAGCCACAACAAAGTCCTCAACAGGTGGCATCCATACAACAGCCACAGCATATTCCTCAGCAGGTCCCACAGCAGGTGACACCCATACAGCAGCAACAACATATTTCGCAGCAGGTGACACCCATACAACAGGCACAACAAAGTCCTCAACAGGCAGCATCCATTCAGCAACCACAGCATATTCCTCAGCAGGTCGCACAGCAGGTGACATCCATACAGCAGCCACAACAAAGCCCTCAACAGCCAGCATCCCTAAAGCAGCCACAGCATATTCTTCAGCAAGTTCCACAGCAGGTGACACCCATACAGCAACCACAAGGTTCTCAACAGGCAGCATCCATACAGCAACCACAGCATATTCCTCAGCAGGTGACACCCGTACAACAGCCTCAGCAAAGTCCTCAACAAGTGGCATCCATACAGCAGCCACAGCATATTCTTCATATTCCACAGCAGATGACACCCATACAGCAGCCACAGCATATTCTTCATATTCCACAGCAGGTGACATCTACACAGCAGCCACCGCAAGTTCCTCAACAGGCAGCATCCATACAGCAGTCACAACAGATGGCATCTGTGCAGGCACAGCAAGGTCCTCAACTGCTGTCATCTGTACAGCAGCCACAGCAAGTTCCACAGCAGGTGATATCTATACAGCAGCCACAGCAAGGTCATCCAGAAGTTCCGCAACAGGGGGCATCCATACCTCAATCCCAACATGTTCCTCAGCAAGTTCTCCAGCAGGTGACATCAATGCAAATGGCATCAGGGCTGCAGTCTCAGCAAGTTGCCAATCAGCAGATTGGATCCCTCCAGATGTCCCAGCAGATTCCACAGCAGGTGGTGCCCATGCAGCAAGTTACACAGCATGTGGCATCTGCACAACAACCCCAGCTGGTTCCCCAGCAGGTGGCATGTGGGCAGCCACCTTCACAGAAAATAGCATCTGTGCAACCTCAACATATTATGCCCATACATCAGGTCTCCACTGTATCACAGCAAATGACACTGATGCAGCAGGTCTCACAGTGTCCAGAAATATCCCTAGATACTTTGGGGCCTCCACAAGAGCAGCAAATTATTCAGATACACCATTCTACAAATCAGCATCCTTGTGTAGTGCAACATATGTTATTTCACGTGCCTCTGCAACAGCAGAAAGAAGAGCAATTTGTTCTACATGCTAATTCCAAAGATCAGTTGCCAGCTGTCTCTCAGCAGGACATAGAAAAGCATCAGCAAGCTGAGTTCTCAGGTTCAGCTCCAGAACAGGTGGCTTATCCCATCCAGACCCAGTATCAGTTGCAAATCCAAGAACAAATAATGTATCCAGCACAATCCCCACACAAGCCACCAGCTTCAGAGCAGCTGAAACACCAAATAGAGCCAACTAACCAGCTGCAGGGTCCAGAGCAAGCAGCATGTCAGATGCATGTCACTTACTCAGCACAGGGCTCAGATCAGTCACCCTGCCCGGAGCCACTAGTTTATGCAGCTTCTGGAGTATATTCAGGACATTCTTTGGACCAATCGGCATATTTTTACCAAGGGCAGGCAGCATATATAACTCAACCAACATATATTGCTCAACCTCCAGAGATCCAGCAAGCTCACTTAACAGTACGGAATACTGATCAACCAAGTTTTGCTGTGCATTCACCTGACCAGTCATTACACCTGATGAAGGATGGAGACACTGGCAACATGGAATTGCAGATCTGTTCAACACAATCCACAGAAATCCATGATTATCCTTCTGAGCCACATCTGCCTGAGCCAGCAATATATCTTAGTCAGCAAGATTCTGGTATGGGCTACCAGCAGCTGCCACCACATGTGGCACACAAAATTGCAGAAGGACAACAGTCAGGGCCACAGGCATCTTTTGTCTCATCTCAGCCGTCTTTCACACCACAAATGCAGCCTCAACCCCCTTATCAGGAGTTTAGCCAGCATCCTAATACTCAGTCACACAAAGCCACAATCCCTCAGTCTGCCCTAGATACATTACAGACTGTAACTTCTGTATCAGAACAGCCAGAACAAGCTTATGCAATACAACAATCTTTGGAAGTGTCAGGACTGTTGAATCATGCTCCTCTCCTCCAACAGTCTCAGACATTTCAACCAGTTGACAATAACCAACAGTTTATCCCTCCACCAATACAGCCACCATACATTCAACAGCAGCCAGTGTGTCAGACCTCAGTTTTATCTGCAGAATTAATTGTCCAGAAGCAGATGCCTTCTAAGAGTTCTATGGCAGCTTCCTTGAACCAGCAAGCACCATTTACTGCTGTGACACAGCCAAACCAAGAGTATCATCAAGGACAAGACATTCCACAGGTATGCCAGTTATTAAAAAAAAAATCTCTTTCTCAGCTACTTAATCCCAGAGAAGGGGGAGAGGGAGAAAATGTGTATTATAAGAGAACATCTAAGTTTTTTTAATCCTAATTTTTCACTTTCAAATTTCATTTCATTAGTTGTCATTTGCAGTAAGGGAGAAGGGATAATGGTGATTGGAAGCAAACCTTTCCATTTGCTAATTTTTCTGGTAAAAAAATTGACAATCTGTATAAGATTAATCCAAATGTGGAAAGGAAGATAGATATCCAGAACTCCCCTTTCCCTTGATAGCTCTAAATGCAGAGTTCATCCCATGCTGCCATGGTTATAATTACTTAGAAAGGCTTTTAAATGCAGGTCTATTATGGAGCAGTCATTATGGAGACCTTTTGGAATGTTTTTTTTAAGTCTCCCCTCATTGCCACTTTTCAACCTGTCAGAAGGGATTTTGGTTGTCTGTTTATTCATTGGTTTTTTTGCAAACTACCAGAGAAATGCATAGAATGCTGAGGAGTGGTAGAGACACATGCTGTCAATCTATTTTATGTTATTTTTGCCAAGTGGGGAAGTTATAAGATGTTTATTAAATGTTTGCAAGTATGACTGGGATCTGAGGGTGGGTACAAAGGATGTTCAGCTATTGGTTAATTTGATGGTAGCAAAAGTGAGCACAAGTTGATGTACTCTGCGGCCCCAGACTTGGAAAAAAATAGCGTTTCCATAATTATAGCATTGTGAATGTCACCATTGGTCCAAAACGGTAAAGACAATTTAAATGTATTCTGATTTCATTTAAGCACACACATTATAAAGAATGGAGAATTCAGTGAATTTGTAGCCTCCTTTAACCATTGTAGTTAGTGCTAAACTACCAACCCTAATAAAAATGGTCATAAGCAAAATTGTGTTCATCAGTAGTGGAAACTGAAGAGAGAGAAGGCCAGACAAATTTCTAGCAGGATATAATTTCCTAAATTGAGTGCTCTCATAAAGTCAAAGGAATTTGGCATGTTAGGACTTAGGGAAGAGTCTGTCTATCAGACCTTAGGGTCCAAGCAGAACTACATGAGGAAGTAGTTATTTAAATGACTGGATTGATACTGTAAACTGTTCAATAATTAGTAAAGCTGCTATGAAAGGGGGTAATATCAGACCAATATTCTTTCTGAAATTGGGTTCTGGATTATGAGTTTGGGACATGTGTAATACAGATTTGTTCAGAGTGAACTGCAGCATGTCATTTAGATAACATTTTCTTTGCTGTGAACAGGTGTTGCATAAAAAAACTGTCCCTGAAAAAAAGTAAGAAACAAGGAAAAGTTCCACTAGGGTCTCATTTTGTTAACAGTTTGGCTAATTAGATTTGAATGTTTCTAATCTGTTTCACAAACGTTATTTGTGAAGATATAAGATAAATGGACAGTCATGGTTTTCTTGAGAGTTATATGCTCTCTTGAACTTAAAAGATTAAAAAATAGGTATAATCCAACTGTCTGTTCAGGGGGGGAAAAATGGTCAGCACCCACAGGCCCTTCTTTGACTCCATACCTCTGCCAACATGTTACTTGATTACATTTGGCTCTGTTTGTTGCACCACCCTGGTTCTCTATTGGTATCTTTCACAGCTCAGTATATGATTTTTCTTCCTTATCATCCTCTCCCATATAATATAGTTCCAGCTGGATTTTTGGGGGGAGGGGTGCCCCCCCCCCCGCTTTATGGTTCTTTTCCCTGGTACTTGACTTCTAATACCTACCATTACTTCAGAGTTTTCTTTCTTTCTCCTTGCTGACTCTGCCGTTTTCTTTTTAGCTGCCTGGACATTTTGCCCTATAACTTAAATTGTACCCAGAGATCACATCTCATTTATCCTGCCTTCTTAATGATAAGGTTCACCATCTTCTTGGGGCCGGCTTAAAGTTTTAATTCCACAAAAATCACTGTCTCGTTTCTTAAAGAAGACTGGTGTGAGCATCCCATGCAGCCTTTTCATTCTCTTAGCACAGAGTATTAATGAGCATTAAAAATAACACACCTATAGGAAAGGTTTCATATTATAAATCACTGGCTGTAGTAATCTTTGGATTATGTTTCTGTGTGCCTGTTCTGTTGTTGGTGCTTTACATCATATTTAATTTGCGTTGCTGTTTTCTGATTAGAGCACTTATCTTTAGTCTAACGTTTATGTGCCTGAAGGCTGAAATCACATAAAAAGTCCGTCATCCTACAGAGCAGTTCCTGTCTAACTTTTGAGTAGAAAGATGGCTTTCAGGTCATGGCAGCAGTATTGCAATCTGAACTGCAGTCCAGTCTGAGAAAGCTACCAACCGTTGTTTCCTTGTTAGTGATTTATAGCCTCCTGTAGCATCATCCAGCCATTACTGTGCCAGTATAACTTTAATGAAGACGTGCTTTATCTCGTCACAGAGATGGTGATTTGTAGAAAACTCTATAAAACAATAGTAAGAAAGTTCCCACACTGTCACAGTTTAAGTAGCTAAGAGGAAAAAAGCAAGCATAATACTTCGTTAAAGCCTCCAAGGCAAAATACTGTGCTGGTTTAGCTCTGACGCCTCAGCTAGTAAAGCATGATTGTGTTCTGTATCAAATACACAACCCATCTGCATATTTCTGGAGTTACTCCTTTTCTAAAAGCTTCACTATATTCAGATAAAATTGGCAAATGCTACATATCAGTTTACTCCCTCTCTCCTCACAGGTTTCTGTCTCAGTGTCAGATGAGCATGAGCACCAGCCACCAGTCCAGAAACAAGAGTCTATTCAAGGGTGAGTTTGCTTTAAGGTCAGTTCACTTGGCTGTCACAGCAGTAGTGCCCTCCAGATGTGTTGGATTTCAGCTCACATTATCCAAGAGTCAACATGGTAAAACTGGAGATTCCTAGGTGAGGGAAAGATAGCTTAGAATATTATGGCCAAACTTGGTGAACATCTACATTCTTCATTCGTAACTTATAATAAGTGAAGAGCTGAGAAGATTGGGAGTATGTCCAGAAACAGAAGATGACTGGAGAAGGGGTAGTAGCAATAACAGTTCTCAAAGAATTTAAGAAGAAAGATGAAATGTTTAAGTGTTTTTTTAATCAAATAATTAAAAAATAATAATTTGTGGATTCTTTTTACTGGAATAGTTTAGATTAAGCATTTTTAGAGTGTGCTTCTTTAACAATTCATTAAACACTATCTCTTTCAAGCCATTAAAAAAAGACTTGCTTACTGTATAATTCAGTTCCAGTACCTGGCCACTTCTCTGACTGCTTATGATAGAACTACCTACTGCATAGTAGGCCCACACTGTTTTGTACATACCATTTCAGCAGCCATATAACAGCAGAGGGCAGAATTAAAGCTACAACATCCCATTTGTGCAAATCCATATAGCTATGCCCTCCTTATCCCATATAGATATGGGTTTCTTCCCTCATGTTCGTTTCCCTTAGTGAGAGAGTGGGAGGATGTGTGGATATGCCCAAATGTGTTTTGTATCCGGATGAAATTGTATGACTATGGCTTTAGCCTTGCTGTCACTCCATCAGTCACATGGCCCCCACTCCCCCTATCCCAGGATTAAGCACTGTGACCTATCCCTTATGAATTAATTATTGCAATGAGGACTTTGGGACTCACAGTAAAATATATTAAAAACAATATATTTTTATCCAATTTTAATTTAAATCATATATTCTTAGAGTTGTAAATACAAAGTATCCCTAAAAGAACGATTAGATTCATCTGATGGCAATTATACTTTTCTGCAAAATAGAATCAGTGCCTGTAGCAGATCCACTTTGCTGGATCCAGCTCCCTTTTCACTGGCAAGAGCATTTCCTGGGTGGAATTGTGCTCAGAAAGCTGCCACCTTTGAAACAGAAGGAAAAAAAATCTTTGTCAATTATTCCCCAAGCAAGCTCATCTCCTGTCCCACTCTACCAGTGAAAGTGCTTCTCTGGATTGGAAGTTTCTGCAGGTAGAAGGTGCCCTTCCATGCATTCCCTAGGTCCAAACTGCTGAGTTAAATGATACTTTTTAATACAAATAAAGAACCAACTTGGCAGTTTTTCAAATATAATAATTTATACTATTTTAGTCCAGTTTTCATTTTAGATTATCAGCTGTCCACAAAGAAATATAACCCTTCTCCCCAAAAATACACTGTATCATACAATGCAGATCATACCCTGTACATAAAATAAACCAAGCATAGGCATTTCATTTTTAACTAGGGGTGGTAATGTAATGAAAAAAATAAAGGTGTTCAGCTTGAGCAATGATGGCCATTTTTATCATTTTTAAGTTGCTTAGCAAGTAGTGTCTGCCGTAGTCTGTATTTTATCCTTTCGGTAGTTATTGGTTTGGCTCTGATTTAAGCTGTTGGTATACTGAAAATTAAATTTCATACTTCTTAATGGTTAGAAAGTGCAGGAGGCAAGGGTATGCCTGTCTCCTGAAGTCCCTTTCTTTTCTTTCCTTTGGTTTAGCCTAGTTCCTGACCTTCCAAAGGAAGGTGCGGTTGGCTGTGACCTTCCATGTGGAAATGGCAAACAAGACAAGATCAAACAGAGAAGGACCTCCTGTGCCCGGCCAGAGAAGGGAACTAAATTCCAGCTCACTGTGCTGCAGGTGTGTATGTTTTCAAACTACTGCAGAGGCTTTTAAACAGGGTTATACAACAGAGTGCTGGCCAGATTTCCTCTGGCTTTATTTTTTTAACAAAGAAGTTACTGAAGTTTGCATGTTGCGAAGCAAAGCAACAGGAAGTAGCATCACTTTTATTGAGAAGAATGCCTCTGGGCTTCACATAACACTTAGAGGAATTCTTAGGGGATAAAAGCAGTGCACCCCAGTACTTTGCATGGAATGTGCTTAGAATAAAAGTCAAAGGTAAGCTGGGGTAATAGAAAGCAACCTTATCTGATAAGTTGGTATTTTATGACTAGTCATTCTGCAATAGTGCCCAAATAATATGTGGCAAAATCCTCCTATAATCACCATTTTCTAAGAGTAATGATATGCTCTCAAAATTGCAAATCATTCAGTAGCCCAGAAATGTTGCCTGCCCCTGGAGAACAGGATGTAGAAGAGGAACAGGATTAAATGAAAGCATATCTTCAAATCTTGTAACAACATCACCTTTAGAGAGTGTTTACCTGAGCTTTAGAGCTACTATTTTTACAATTCTGCTTGCTGCTTGCAGTTAAAACAATAATTTAATGTTGCCATACGTTCAGTAATGTGGGTTCCACACATTGACGGTCTTAAGCAGTGACTAATTTTAATTAAGTCACAGTTGGCTCAGTTCATAGACTACACTAAGGCAGAAGCCATGTTTTGTAAACCACAGTGCTTGGGTTCACCCATAGCTAAGCAAGAACAAGATAAACCACATTATGTCTTATTGCAGTTAGTGAATTATTTTCTGTTTCTGTCAAGAACCAGAATTTTGGCTCAATCAGTTCTAATTCACAGACAGTATTTCAGATATGTGTGAACATTTGCATTGCAGGATGCAGATATCTAGAGCAGGACCCAACTAGTTTCACTCTACTGACAGAATGCTTCAGTCAGTAGAAGAAGAAGCAGTCCCCTATGATTCCTAAATCTTTCCTGGAGGTTGGATTTGCCATCTACTGATGTTTAATGCCAGAGAATTATATTTATAATAATTGTAATGATAATTGCATGCTGGCTGGGGAATTCTGGGAGTTGAAACCCACACATCTAAAAGTTGCCAAGGGTGAGAACACTGATATTGTACGTGACTGTAATCATGCATTTAAACAAGAGTTATTGATAAGGTTGAGCCTTTCCACAGTAAGGGGGGGGGGGTTAATAGTGCTTTGTTGTTGAACTGGGGATGTAATTTTATGGTGGCAAACTAATCCAGCATAAGTTATCTTTTTTTCTAGGTATTTGTGAAAGAGAGAGGTATTCTGCCTCTGTCTAATAGCATAATATCTTTTTTTTTCTTCAATCAGGTATCAACATCTGGAGACAATACTGTTGAATGTCAGCTTGAAACACATAACAACAAGATGGTTACATTTAAATTTGATGTTGATGGAGATGCTCCAGAGGACATAGCTGATTACATGGCAAGTTATATATGCCCTGCTTCAAAGTAGATACTTCTTTACTACTGTTACAACTTTTAAAAATTATTTATATGTTGCATAGTTCAAGTGCAAGTACCCTGCTTCTTTATATTTCTCAAGTTATATGGAACCCCCTAAAGCCAAATCTTAGATTTTCAGTTCATATGCCTTTATTTTATTTATTTGTAAATTAATTTTGATATTGGTTTTGGGGCAAGAGTATAAAAATGGAGAGGATTGGGGGCTGTTAGAGGAATATCTGAGAATAAAGGATGGAAATATGTGGCTGCACTTATTTTCCCAAACACACTACTTTTGGAAACATCATACGTGAGAATTCAGAATATTTTTAAAAATATTTTTTTTAAAGTCATTTGAGTTACTCTTCTAAAACTTGTTAGCTTCCTTTAGACTACTAGGTAATATAATTTTTATCAGTCCTAAATACCTGGGGGTAGGGAGTGGGAGAAGAGAAGAAACATTGGAGTAATGTTTCAGGGAGTGATCTACATTTAAATTAATGGAAGGAGATTTTGAAAGCATATACATGCCATATTTGGAAGAAAACTTTGCATCATGGATCTATATTTATTTTATTAGAAGCTATTTCATCACATGGGGCGTACTCTCAAGTGAGGGTTCATGGAGTTGTATCCTTCACATCATACTACAGAATTACTACATCAAACTTACTGTTCTCCTGTGAGGAAATGGTATGGGGGATATTGCTGCAAAATAAATGAGGAACCTGTTATATCAGGGATAGGCCAGTGAGCTCATTTGAAATTCTGGGAACATTAAGGGGATATTCATAAAATTGCCAGCATGGAGGGCAAGGCTAATTACAGAGCATTCATTGATTAGGAGACAAATAGATGTTGCTCCAGCCCCCCAGATGTTATCTGCATTTGCATTCCCTTTAACTTTTTCCTGGTTTCCAAAGGCTTCCACACAAGCTTCTAAAGAAAGCATTGGGCTACAGCAACCTGTCACATTTATTCTAAAAATGCCTATGTGGTGCCCAGAGGCATTTGTAGAAATAAAAAAAAAGAGATTAGTATTTTGCTTTGCAGGAAAAAAGTTAAAAAAAATAAAAATCAGATGAATATGAAGCCAAGCAATATTAGTATTTCAAAAAGCTGAGATTTTTCCACTAGTACAAAATGTGATAGAAGACTGTACACTGGCATCATGTGAGAAGAGGTGGCATTTCAAAAAGGAACAAAAATTAGCATTATTGGGGGGAAATGAAACTTCAATAAGTTTTTTAGAATACTTTTTCAAGATTAATTTTCTTCATTTTTTGTAATAACCATGAATACTTGGAATGTGAATATTTATGTGGGAGAGATCTAATTTTCTACAGCCTGTTTGTTGGAATGGGGGATAGCCAGAATTTGAAGAGCAATAGTGAGGTTTGCATCTATATCTTTTATCCTGTGTCCCCCCCGCCCCCATCTTTCCCATTTACTAGGTTGAAGATAATTTTGTATTGGAAAATGAGAAGGATAAATTTGTTGATGAACTGAGGGCTATTGTTTGCCAGGCTCAGGACATCATTTGTAGTCTTCCTATTGAAGAGCGAGCCTCTGGCATGGAATCTGCTCCTTCTGATCCAACCAACTGCCAAGTAAGTTCAGCTTCTTTAGTGATGCCAGTTTTCTGGAAAGATGTGTACTTATATTGGGAAACTCCCTTTTTATATTTATCTATTCATTTTTAATTCAGACAGGATCTTCTGAACAAGTTCAGATAAACCCAGCATCTACTCAAACTGGCAGTAAGTAACTATTTTAAAACATTTAACCCTGCAGGACCAAAACAATACTCTGAAACTCACAAGACTAAAAGCATCCTCATTTAAAGAGGAAAACTATGAACAGTGGATTTTTGGCAAAGTCCCATTCTCACCTCTTTTCACTTTGTCCTTTCAATCCCCATGATAGTTTACCCTTTGAGGGGTGTCCTTTGTATAAGTTTTTACTGCAAATAGTTGACTCTTTGCAACAGTCCTGTTGATTTTAGTGGAATATTCTAAAGATTTTAATTATACTATCAGAGGTTGAAGCTAGCCATAATGGTAAATAATTAGCTGTTAATGAGCATTGCTAAATTGGCATTACTTCTGGAGTTGGCTTGGTGGACCTTTAGAAAATTAAGAAATGTTAGGAAACTAGAATCCAATTTTTTTAAAAAGCATGATTGATAGTATAGTAGTAAAAGGTATGCCTGCATTCACTACCAACTCTATAAGATCTCCCCCCCCCATGTGAACTGCTTAAAGTGCCCTTGTAAAATGTTTTTACAACAAGCTGGATTGACTCTGAGTGGCGATAGGGGGAAGAATCAGTCACGAACCAGTGGCCCAGTAAACCAAATTCTTTATATTCACTGACCGTATTTCAAAGATAGTATAGCTAGCATGCTCACCTAATATGAAGGGATAAACAATAGTAACTAGATTTATCCTAAAAAGAGAAACTCTTAGACTAACTCAGTTTGAATGAGCACAGAAGTGTCTCATGCAGAACCAAATTTAAGTATTCCTTCATTTTCTCCTATGTGACAAAAAAAAGAATTTAGAACTTAGTTTCACTTTAGTAGATTGCTGACTTGGTATTGCAAACCAGGAATAGTGTTTTATAATAAATTAGCCAGTTGCTAAATGGGTCACAAAAATCTTCTCAAAGTTGAAGCTTTTGGGAAGCAATTGACAGGTCTATGTTACTGTTCTTTTTTTAAAATTTATATTAATTAAATATTTTCATTGTTTAAAAATACTGTACTCATTTTGAAAGGAAGGAAGATGCCTGTCTTCCAGATGAAGGTGCAGTGCCAGTAATAGGGCAAGATGAGCCCCCTGTTGATCACATGAATCATAGCCTAGGGCGCATGCAGTTACAAGCGGTTTCAGTATACACCTGCACTCTGGTGATATATTCATGGATGGGGTAATATCGTCTCAGGATACAAATGCCACTTCATAAACAGCTTTGTACTGCTGCCTTGTCCTTGAAAAGGTCATCCATGCTACCACTGTAGGGTATTCTTCGGTTTCCCTTTTTCTTAGCCTCTGGGATTCTGTTGTAGCAGCCCGCTTGGCATCATTAGGTAAAGGAGCCCAAATGCGAATTGCCATCATGCCAACATTAGGAATTTGGAAGGCAGTGGAGGCTTATTGTTATGGTGAGCACATACATTTGTTAAGAGGGAGAGGGGATCTATGTTAAGGCATGAAATCCATGGGGATGGGTCAGGTCATTCAGTTACTGATCGGCAAGCTAGCACCAAGTGAGTGACATTTTTCCTTGATAAACTGTTGGCTAGTAGAAAGGCAAGTGCTGAATGGCTTATTCTTTTCTGCAAGCATGTAAATATATCTCAAGCATGTAAATATATCATGTGTACCTGAAAATAGTCAAAACAGTCCAGGTAGGCTGATCTTTTGGAAGACACCCCCCCCCCAATTCTGGTTTATTCCTTCTCTTGGCTACTCGGGTAGAAGAGAGCAAGGTGGAGACTACGGAATTTGATGCTTCATATGAGCATCTCTTTGCCCATCCACATAATACTAAATCATGTTACTGTTTATTTTATTTGGTTTTAATATTTAATATTTCTTTTTATGTATTGAACCCAACATAAAATCTGCTGATTAGCTGGCAAGCTAGAAAAATAAAATAAAAATAAAATAAAATAAAATAAAATAAAATAGCATTATATACAATTAGCTATTAGCCAGTTGTGTGGTTTTGGATAACCAGGAACCTATCCAATCTACATGTTTATTTTTGAATAGAATATAAAAAAATATGTAAGTTTAAGCAAGATAAGGTATACATGATGCTGTTAATTGTGAAATGGTGCTTGCACTTTTAAAATACCAGGTATCTCTTGTCTGAAATATAAAAGTAATAGTTGAGAGAGGAATTAACATGGATTTTCTTTTAATGAAACTTGAAACAGGAATGTGAACTATTTATTGTGATCCTTTATATGATACAAAATCAGTCAGTTTCAAAGATGGTTGATTTCATAATTTTATTTCAACAATTGCATTAACAGGACAATGCCAGTTTTTTTTTATTATTCTCAAACCAGGCATCTGTTTCTGATTTTGTAATTTCAACTAACTCTAACATGCGTGTCTTTTAGGTCCCTGAAGGACCGGAATGCTTATGACTCTGGCCAGAATCCAAAGATCTACAACACTAGTTTTATGCAATTGTGGTAGTCTGCCCCAACCTGGTTTTCTCTAGAGCTATTAGGCACTTCCTACAGTCCTTTTGGATTGAGGTAGCCAATAAAGCTACTAAATAAATATTAGGATACAACTTGCAGAATTTCCAGCTGTTGTGCTGGCTGGCAATTTGGAGAGTTAGAATTAACAAGTTGGGGAAGACTGAGTTGAGTATTGGATGTATTTCTAAAACAGAAGTCTTCCTTACCATATGTGAAGGCAACTGTAAAACATATGGAGCTTTCAAAAACAGATTGTGACCATTGCTTAGTTTCTTTAAATCTTGGTGGAGCCTGATATAGCTCTTTGGATCCTAACCCTGCAGTCTATGGTGTGAGAAAAAGTTGCAGATCTTTATCTGGGATAAGTGATTAATGATATAATCAGTGTGAATCTTGTATGAGAAAACAGAAGTATGTATCAGAGAGCTTTCTCTTGAGAAAGAATAAAACACTGGATTAAAAGGAAATCTGTTGAATTTGCTCATAATCCTATTTTACTGATATATTTTCTTGCTTGATGATTTGAGTTTCTTTCCATGGAAGTTAAACACATGGTTACTATCTGATATATCAGCAGTGCTACTGACTATTTTAGTTGAAATAAAATAATAGTATGAATGAATGAATGAATGAATGAATGAATGAATGAATGAATGAATGAATACAAAATGGTTCTGTTGAAGCAGGATCAATATGTCATGTGACAATATGTTAATTTAATGAAGACGAGTGAAGGACAAGTGTGTTACATAATGCAAATTCCATAGAATAGATGTGTATGCAACTTGTGATAAATATGGTGGAAATATGGCCTGAGAACCTTACACCCCATTGCTTTTATTAATGAGCATCCTTAAACCTAGGCTTTGGGATAGGGTGGTATCAAGCCCCTGTAGAATTTTATCCAATTAAGTATCCTCTTTCTTCCAGATGTGCATGATCTTTGTTCTCATTGTTATATTGGTTTCTTGCCACTAATGTTGTAAACCACCCAGAATTAGTTTCTTTTGGAGTTAGGCGGCCTCTAAATTGAATTAATTAATTAATTAATTAATTAACAAATTAACAATGAATAAACAAGTATGTGTGTACTGTCAGCCGGAAGATGAATAGGGACAAATTTGAATAATCAACTTATACAGAAAGGAAAGTGGGGGAAAGCAGGAAAGGTTTTTCTGTTTCAGTAATGGCTACTAAAGGAACCCTACTTTCATATTTTAAAATGCATTTAAATGATGTTTAAATATACCACAAAGGCAGAAAATCCACCTTTCATACAGCGTCAGACTAAGTATGTACTCAGACATACACACTTCATTGTTCCCTTACATCTATTACCTATTAAGTATATTAGGATTATTGCCTAACACAAGTATCCTGATTAGTTGGATTACAGGGATCCAGACTTGAAGGGGAAAATTACTCAAAGTGTACATCAATGTACACATTGGACTTTTTGACTCCTTAAATAAAACACAACTTTTCTTAGGCCCTTGCAACAGCAACCATACACAGTGCAGGAAAAATACAGCTCCTTCCATGTCCTTCCAAGTGTGACAGGAGCACCTATGCATGTTGCAGATCAGCTTTTCCCCTTCAAATCCAGATCTCTGCATAGCCCTACTGATTACTGTATCATGTTACTTCTAAGATTCCTTTTTGCAATAGCAGAGCTGTGCTTGTAATCATGCTTATATAAACCGTGACACGATCTCCCCTTCTTACCTTTCTCTCTCTCCTTTTAGGTGATACTGCTCCCCAGTCATCCCCTGTTGGCCGCTGGAGGTTTTGCATCAACCAAACAATAAAGAACAGAGAGTCCCAGGCAGCTTGTACCCCGCTGCTATCAATGACAAGTGTTCAAGGATGTCAGACAACAGGTGAACATATGATTTAAAAAACATGGCAGATTTTGCTCTGGAGTAGTATATTATCTGGTTGATTTTGGAATTGGGCTCTGCTGAAATAAGAGAGGCTCAAGGATGGAATTGCAAAGTTATCAGACGAATTCTTTAATGCTGATGAAGAACAGCAGCCCATTTTGAGACTCTCTTCCTTTCCACTATTACTGCATTTACATGAAAGGAAGGCAGTCTGAATTTGAGACCATATCCCATACCCCGGAAGATTAAGCAGACTTCCAAATTCCTTATTTGCCCCATTATCACATTCCCATTTTGAAAGTAAAGTAGTGAATTTGTGTCATATCCCCCTCATGAAGAAAACTAATGATTTCATTGGGATTAGGGTTGGGCAAGAAATAAATATATCTCTTTCTTATAATAATTAAAATTTAACCTATATATTAAATAAAACAATGAACATTCCACGAAGGCAGAAAATCCACCTTTCATTCAGCGTCAGACTAAGTATGTACTCAGACATACACACAAATAAATTAAAAAAAAACTCCTTTATTTGCCCAGATGTTATATGTTATTGATCATATGATCTTGTTTTTTTTCCTCTCCCCAACCCATCCTTTTGTTTTTTACTTTGTTGTTTTTAATTATTTTTAATCAAAACTTCTTAATGAGACTTACCTTAAAAAGGGATATATAAATATTTTAAATTAAAAAAAAAATCAAGATTTTATCACCTCAGTCCAAGTTTTCATTATCTCATTGTTTCTCTCTGGGCTGTTTCTGTGATATTTTTTAGTCCAGCCTTTTCCAACCAGGTTCCCTTAAAGATGTTGAGACTGCAATTCCCTGGGCCATGCTGGCTGAGAATTCTGGGAATGTTGGTTGCAACATATATGAAGGACACCAGTTCTGATGAGGATCTTCTGTTTCAGATTGGTAGGGCTTCCTAAGCAGCTCTGAAAACTGTGGCATCTGGATTTTTTGTTTTTGTAATTTTTTATTATATTTTCAAAAAGAGTTAAAATACAGAAAAAAATTTAAAAAAGGAAAAAGAAAAAATATAGAAAAGAAAGAGTAGCTTCCGACTTTCCTTGGTACAGGTATAAATGTAAAATATATTCGCCTCTTGCTCTAATATCTAAAGTTTACATAATAAAAAGTAGTTTTTAACTAATATTCAAGAAAATCCTAAAATCAGTCTATTTCAATAATATATATAATTTGTAGAAGATATTTCTATAATATCAATCATCAAATCCAAAAATCAAAATTGCATTTTTTTGAGTGTCAGGCAAAAAATCTAAGAGTAGTTTTCAATTAGAAGCAAAGCTAGACAGTGCCCACTCTTTGAGCAAGGTAGTCAGTTTCGCCATCTCTGCCAATTCCATTAATTTCAATGTCCATTCTTCAGCTGTAGGTATTTGTGAGTCCTTCCATTTTTGCACATATAAAAGTCTCACCACAGTTATCATATAAAGAAAAGGTTTCCGTGTTTTCTTTCCATTTGTTTATCCGTCATACCTAAAAGAAAAGTCTCTGGTTTCAATTGCAGGTCTAATTTCAAAATCTTTTGAAT